TGTCAGTATATAGTATACATTTGTATTTACACGAAATGCAGTTATCAGGGCATTTGTTATGTTAAAAGATATTAAAAATATTAGTAGTCTTTGTCAAAAAGGTTTGATATCTATTTGATACATACACATGACCTTAATGCTATAATCAATATAAAGAATGATGGTTTATTATCCATCTGAAATAGCTTCAAGGCAGACTGCAAAAGTACATTAATAAACCCAAATCATCCACAAAACTAAAAGCAAAAAAGGGGTAAAATACGTGTAGAAGTCATCGCAGGGGTCGACCGAGGGATCCATCGCCTTCAGGATGCTCGACGCCGCGTGATGCACTCTCCGTCAGGCACATGTCGGCCTGCAGGATCCCTGGCGGGCGAGAGGCAGACGCTCAGGTCGAGGAGGACTGGATTTGCATTTGAAACACAACAAAAATAGTATGCATGCAAGTATACACTATATACTATACACTATTATCTGCTCTACTCCGGACATACTAATATAGTGTATATATTTAATATATATGCACACACACACACACACACGTGCATGTGTGTCAATGTGTGTGCGCGCGCGCGATGTATGTCGCTGCCGTTATGTATATATATATATATATATACATATATATATTATATATATTATATATTACATACATACCATACATGGCCAATAATAAAAACATTAAAAAAAAACAATAACATTTTTGACAAAATATAATATATTATATTATTATATATATATATTATATATATCTATATATATTTATATAATATAATATATAGGAACAAACATTACACGCGCGCGCACACACACACACACACACACACCACAACACACACAGCACACACAACACACACAAACATATAATAGTAATATATATATTAATATAATATATATATATTAAATATGGTTTATAATGTTGTAAATTTTGGTTTTAATTTTGGGTATGTATACAGACAAAACACACAACACAACACACACACACACACACAACACACACAACACAAATCATAATATAGTATATTATATATATATATATATATATATATATATATGTAATTATGTATGTATTAT